ACTTATGAAAATTGGTGGTCCCAAAGTGGTGAAATACAAAGTCTAGAGGGGGGGTGAATAGACTTTGTTACAAGTTTAAAATCTTTTTCGTTTCTTTTGAAAACGAGAAAATGAGTGTTAATCTAGAGTCCTTGTGAACTTTAGATTGTGTGCGGAATTTGGTGGGTGGAGTGAGCAGTAATTAATATGGATAGGTTAGTTTTCACAGTTAATATAATTGCAAGTAAGAATAAAGATAAGAGAGAGAGACACGCAAACTTTAACGAGGTTCGAAGGTGGGGTAATCCTTCTACGTCCTCAAAATCCACTATGTAGTTGGTTGTTGAATAATGAACCAACAGTTACACTTGTGTGAATTTCTGCACGGTATATCTTCACAAGACCAATGTTGCTACTGCACTCGTGCTGGCTTTGTTGTTCCTTCGAAGGTCAAGCTTCTTCAACAACTGCAAGATCCGAACAATAGGACTTGCAAGATCAACTTGTAAGAGAGTTGACCTACCCCCTTTTAATCAATAAGTTTGATCAAAAGTAATATCCTTCAACGTGGTGTGGTGCTTGAGGCAAGGAAACCTTCAAGTGTTTACACTATAGCTTTTTGGAAGGAGGAGAAGTTTGCTTCTGGATAAGGAGTTTAGAAATCTCTCTTTATCAAGCTTTTTGGGCTAACTGTGAATGAGATAGCTTTAGTGATTGCTTCGTTGTGTTGTTGTATCAACGTATCTCATCATATTCTCTTCAGTCTTCCAAGGATGCTATTTATAGCTGGATTGGATAATCTATCCGTTGAATCATAATGGACTNTCCGTTGCATTTGCTGGCTTCAATTTTGAATGAAGATTGTGATTTGAAGATTCTTCGTTGAAGTGGGTGTTTGGATTTACCCAATTGTTGAGAAAGGACTCCTTTTTCCACAAAATCCGTCTTCTAGCTTTTGTTCAAGAATTCAAGACTGTAGCACTTTACTCTGTTTGTCTTCTAGTGCTTGTTTAGGAATTCCGGGCAGGCTCTTTAATTTTAGAGACCCAGACTTTGTCTTCGAGTAATTTGTTCTTGAATCAGCCTAATTATCTTCAATCTAGCCGTTGAAAATCAAGAGATTGATTTTTCCTTGCCACGGGTAGAATTTCTTCATTCAGGACTTAGATGATTTTCTAAGCCTTTTCTCACTTGTCCGCTTTCTGAGAATTCCAATCTTCGGTGAGTCTTCCGATTCTTAGCTGACAAATCCGGATGAGTCTTACTTCCGGGTGAGAAGGAGATCCGCGCTAGTCTTCCGATTTGAATGACTTAGCCTTCAGCGGGTTGTAGCGAGACATCCGGTTCTTATGTAGTCTTCCGAATCTGAGAATTTTTATCTGATTGAGAAATCCTTACTTGTCTCTGACACTTCCGATCAAGATATCCAATTTTCATATCACTGAATTTGATCAAGTCTTCAGGCATCAAAACGCTTAAAGAAATATCACAGTTTTATTGGAAATCTCAAGAGCTTGGTTTTGACAATATTTCTTAAAAAGAAAAATTACATTGAATATTGGGGGAGACCTAAAGTCCCTATTACATTCTAAATAAATCATCATCAAAATCTTTAATATTTTTCCCAACAAAAATTATATGTTTTGTAGATCAGATTGTTGTTAGGGTTTTTGTTAATTAATATAATATAATATATGTGTATCTATTTTTTAAAATTATCTAAAATTCAATAAAGTACCAAAATATGATTCTGGACTTTATAAAATTTGAAAATATGATTTTTGAAATAAATTTGGATTTTTTTATTTTCAAAATTGAAAGGTTAAAAATAGTTTAACCAATTGAAAATACTTCAAAAATCCAAAAATTAAATTTTATTAAACTCGAGACATTAAAATATCATTTTAAGATCTAAGGAAATTTAAAATTAATTTTCGGAATTTCTTTCCTAAATTATAAGGTACTGTTTGATTTGTAGTTATTTTGATTAATTACAAGATAAATACAAAAATAAATTATGGAAAATACTTGTAATAATTCTTGAATGTTTAAATATGATTTTAAGTTTTGTGGAAAATGAAAATAAATTTTCTGATTTTATTTTCTACTTTTCAATTTAAAATCATCTAATTTTTTATTAATAGGGACTAAATCAAATAAGATAATTAAATTCAGATTTGTGATTTTATAAATTTTAAAATATGATTTTCAGACTGTATTTAAGTTTTTGGAATTAAATCTTTGATTTAATTATTCAATTATTAATTTTTGGAAAAACAGTGTTTGGTACTTTAGTAATTAATTCCCAATATTACATAATTAATTTTAAATTATGGAAATTTAAGATTTTCTAATAAAATCATAATATTCTGAGCATATTTATTTTTTAAATAATTATGATGTACAAATAAAAATTTTAGAACTTGGTTTTATGAATTACCAAATAATATGGAAATTCGATTTTCAGATTTTATATGAGTCAAAAATAAATTGGAAAAAATTTATTTTTTGAATATTTGGAATATTCTAAATTATTTTTGGAAATTAATTTAACACTTTTGGAAACAAATTCCAAAATACCGAAAATAAAATTTATTTAAATCTGAAAGTTTGATTTTCAAGACGATACTGACCGAAAATAAATAGTTTCATAGAATATAAATTTTTGGAAAGTCAAAATTAAAGTTTGGAAAATTAAATTCGAATTAAGGCTATTTAAATAAAGAATTTAGAAAAAAAATTTATAAATTCAGGACATTTTATTTTTCGACATATAAAATCGGAAAACACATTCTAAAGTTTATTTATTAATTTTAAAAAGGTATAAGTATTTATTTCGAATTAAATTCCTAATTTCAAAATTAATACCTATATTTACGGAAATTAAGTATTTTAAAATTTAGGAAATTTCAAAATTAAATTTTGGAGATTCTGGAATCTTAAAAATAAAACTTAAATAAAATTATTTGATAATTATTAGGCTTGTAGTGTATTTTTGTTAGAATAAAGTAGGTTTGGGCGAGCGCAACTTGCCCGGTGTATGGATTTTTATGCATGTGATGTATGAATGTTTGCATGGTGCATGATTGTGGCTTATAATGTTTGGTTTTTGAATACAGTGTGTGTGTCGTTTCTCATATCTAAATTTTGGTTGTAAATCTCTTCTCAAACCTCATACTCCTTGCTTACAAAGCAAGGATTCTTTTCTCTCGATTAAACAGAAGTCCATGAAGAAGCAAGGAAGATGCAGGAGCCAAGAAGAAGAGGACATTAGCAAGATGCTCTGAACTTGAAGGCTGAAGCATTCTTAAAGAAAGAGGGTGAAGCTAGAGATAGAGATCTCAAGTGAAGGCTTTATCGTTAGTTTCTTTAGGAGGCCACAATCATGTCACGTTTTATTCATTATGCATGTTTGTATGTTTGAATGTATGATTGAATGATGTTCGCTAATGTATGTGTGCGGCATATACCATAGGTGAGACGACGCTTAAAATCCCTTGTAATATTAAGTTCGTGCCTTCCGACGCCTACTCACTCGTCATTACCAGTTTCGACCAGTCAACGGACATGCCAAAGCGGGATGCCTAGTTAACATTGGTATGGCACGAAATCCGTAACAATGGAAACTGAGGATGAATAACCTAGAGGCACATGGTTAGGTTAATAAATAAAATCAAATTTATATAGCCTAGAGTTGTAAAATGTTACAATTGGAAATAGTTCCTACCTGAAATAATTTAACTATAGGGCAAGATGCAAAGCACAACTATAGTTAGATGAAATAAGGATCTAGGACCAATATAGGATTTTATTTAGAAGAACCTAGAAAACCAAGGATTGTAATTGTATTACAATTGAAAATAAGTTCCTACCTAATTAGTTTAACTATAGGGCAAGATGCAAAGCACAACTATAGTTAAATGTAATATGGACCTTGGCCCACTAAGATATCTCTTTAGGAGTGATCTCCAATTAACAAGTTACGTACTTGAGAGTAGTTGATTTGGAAAAATAGTGGGAGAGCTATTAGTTAAAGACCTAGCTAATTAATTAGATTCTTGATATTAACTATCTTGCAAATTATATGTTGATGGGTAATAACAACCATAACCTCACTCTTTGCTCAATCCTCAACAAATACAAATTGATTGGCTCTAACTTCTTAGACTGGAAAAGAAATCTCGTTATTGTTCTTCGACTTGAGAAGAAAGGGTATGTGCTCGAATTAGCCATTCCACCTGCCCCAACCGCCAACGCTCCTAGAGTGACTAAAGATGCTTACGAGAAGCATGTTGATGATGACATTGAGGTGGCATGTCTCATGTTGGCTACGATGACTTCTGATCTTCAGAAACATCAGAGAGTATGAAGGCGTACGATATGATCCTACACCTAAGACAGCTCTACCAAAGACAAGCTAGGCATGGGAGATTCCAAATCTCTAAAGCTCTCTTTATCCGCTGTGTAATGTATATTCTGTAGTTAGATCTATCTAAATGATCCCCATTTTTTCTTCAAGAACAAACCACAAAATTATCATAATAACTCCGGGCTCTTAAGAGTAAAGATTATCAAGTATACATCATCTATCCAAGCCTTTGTTCATTGTTGATTAAAATGTTTTATGCTTGAGTTCTATCCTCGTTGGGTGAGCATCCAAGAGTCGATATTACTATAATCTATAGGATCTTCAATGTATTTCAGCAACTTACTCATTGAGAGTTCATTAATTGATGTGGTTTGTTTCCTACTCTTTTCGAAAGGGTGTAAAATCTTGGTGTTGGGGTTACACCATTTTGTTAGGGTAAAAATTAAATTCGTTTGTGAAATCAATTTTAGGTGGAAGAAATCTTGTGACTTGTGAAATAAGGTCATTGGTGGAAAGATAAGATGCTTGTAAATCGTGTTCTTGCGTTATAAATTTTCCAGACTGTAGAAAGGTTAATTTCATTGATTGAATATGTGGGAGTACATGTCTATATATACACAAGGGTTCCTAATCCTATACAAGGTAGGAGTCAATAATAGGAAACAATATATTCCTAATCCTATACAAGGTAGGAGACAATAATAGGAAACAATATATTTACATTAAATATAGAATATATTTAACATGCTCCCGGCTACGTCGGATGAGGAGGGGGTCTGATACCCAGACTGGACTTAAACTCGAGGAAGAGTAGAGAAGGTAGTCCTTTGGTGAAGATGTCAGCATACTGTGAAGAGGAGGGCACGTGAAGGACTCGGATATGGCCGAGTTCTACTTTGTCTCGCACAAAGTGTATGTCGACTTCAACGTGCTTAGTGCGCTGGTGCTGAACTGGCTTCGATGAGAGATAGACGGTGCTGACGTTGTCACAGAAGACGAGGGTGGCGCGTCGTAGTGGTTGCTGGAGCTCAAGAAGAAGATTTCGGACCCAAGAAGTCTCAGCAACTGCATTTGCCACAGCCCGGTATTCTGCCTCTGCACTGGAACGGGAAGTGGTGGCCT